ATATATATATATATATATATATATATATATATTAATGTAACGGGGCTTTTTCAAAAACAAAAACGGACTATAATAAGTTTAATAAAAATTGATAGGGTGTAATCATACCTTCGGATTTGAAGTGCTCTCAGGCCGGTGCAAAGGTACTTGATGCCGAACAACTATAAATTGTTGTATTTTTTTTCAATAATACCCAAGAAAACATATCAATAAAATCAAAGAAATAAGCTTTTCTTTATTAAGTTTTAAGACTTAGGACAGTGTTGTTTTTCTTTGTTCTAGTTTTTTAAGACATACATACTTATATAAGCTCATTTGGCTTGTAAAGCTTGTCTAGTTTTAATAAAGTTTAATAAGCCTTTGGGGAGTTTAATCCAAACATAATTGTTGATAGTCATAGCCTGTGAAATAATCGAACACTGTTTTTTGGCCAATTCAAGCTAAAAATGTCAAAAACGTGCTTATGAGACTCATGTTAAATTGGACCAGATTCATCTTTGACGTCCAATATTTGATATCTTTTTATGGTTATTTTATGAAAGTTGATAGATACAAATAATATTGTTTTTGGAAAGGTTTATACAGCTTTTTGTGAATGCACATGACGAATTTCTCTTTATAGGCTTAATTATTTGAACTTAATTTGTCCGGTTTAAATGTACGATCATATCTTAGAATTATGTAGACCTTAACCAAATTATTTTTATATATCTCCTTTAGAGGAATAAAAGCTCGGTTTTGAAGGAAGTTTCCTTGTGGTCAATGAAAGTTGATTACTTTATAATTTGTTGAAAGAAAGTACAATTTACAATGTGATTGTGTTTGATCAATGATTATGGGGATCTCAATATATACTATAAAATGAATTACATAAACACAATTTAGATTCTTGTTTCATCTTTATCCATAATATTTTATTTTAAATCTTTTTGCTAGTTTTTTAATTAAGAATTACTTTAAAATATGAGGAGTTTTTATGGTTTTATTACATATTAGTTAAACAACTTTGTTAAACTCATGTTCAAAATACATTACTTTTAAACATGTAAAATGATGATCTACGTGTATTCATTGATGAAGAACAAGTTTGTTACATTTGACGGTTCTGGAGGTGTTCGTCTAATATATTTAGAGAAATCTCCAGTAAAATCTCAATATTTTAGCATAGGTCATAAAAAGAAGTTCTAAACTAAATTTCATTTAACGAAAATCACAGAAAACCAAATTAAAACTTCGAACCCCCCCCCCCCTTTTGGCCCGTTTTGCTTATTTAGTCGGTTGTCCGTCCTTTTCTGTTATTTTGATCAAAATATTGAGATTTTTCCTGAAAATTACCATATTTTTTAATCAATAACCAAAATATAGGGAATTTTTAACAAATCGTTTATAAACAAATGAAATACAGTTGTTGCTAATTTCTAAGAATAAAAAGGTAGACTAAGTAATCTCATAATGCTTGCTGACATCTTCAAACTTTCTACATTCCTCTTATGCGTTGTTGTGGTTCATAGCGAGAGGCACTATGTGGGTGTTCCTCTAATGTTCGCGTTCTTCTTATATTCTTTAACCAAACTGTCACCCAAACTCCATACCTTACATGGTAACAACCATTGGCTAACACACATTCATCAAGAGTGAAAAATGAACCTTGGATGACAATTTAAATGGAAACAAGTGAGGAGTTAATATCTATCTACATTCTCATTCAAATTTCATTATCGATGTTTGTGTGCTAGTGGATGGTTGTTACCAAGTAAGGTATGGAGGTTGGACGGTAGTTAGGTTAAAGAACATAAGACGAATACCAACATTATAGGAACACCCACACAATGCATCTCACCATGACACCCATATCGATGCATAAGAGGAACGCATAGAGTTTGAAGTGGTAAGCAACCAATAGAGAGTAGTTAGTCCACATTTTTGTTCTTAGAAATTAACAACCACTACATTTTCTTTGTTTATGATAAAAAAAATATATTTCGTTTATAAATGATTTATTAACAATAATTCAAAGGTAATCTTTAGAAAAATATAATATTTTGATTATTGGTTAAAAATAGGGTAATAGTCAAAATAATCTCATATTCTGACCAAATTAATGGAAAAAGATGGGATACCGACTAGATCTGCAAAACCGCTAAAAATGGTTTTTCTAAAATTTTAGATGGTACTTTGTGTTTTTATGTAAATAATTTTAGTTTGAGATTTTTTCATAATCTATACTAAAATATTGGAACTTTAGTGAGATTTCCCAATATATTGCCGATTATGACTTTAAAGTCGAGTTTGACAATGTGATTTATTGAGTTCTATTTGTAAGCTTTTAACTTTTAATTTTAAGAAAATTCAAATAAAAAAATTGTTTGGAAGCACAAACTTAAAAATTTTATATTAGAACAAAAGTTTATTAATCCAAAGACTACTCAAGTAGCTCTTGAGAGCATTTAAAAGCTTTTAACTTTTATGTTTTATGTAATTAACAAGCATTTCTACAGAAATAAAAGCACTAAGTATTGATAACTAGTTACCGGATAGCATCTATTTCTTACCAAACACTCTATAAATATATAACTAAAGCATTCAAATATGTATGTATGAGCACATATGTCGTTTAGAACAAGTATATATACAATTGATGTGCTTTGAAATGAAGGATTATTAGTTCTGTTTCGAAATACAACTTTCCAAAAAGATGATGTTAATATATCAAGTATGTTGTTTATGATATTTTTTGAGTCACATGGCATGTAGGTAGATGTTGAAAACATGTGGTGACATCTCGGGTAAAACATTAAATGGGTTGGGAGAGTTTGACCATAACCTGACCCATTTAATTAATGTGTTATATCATAACAATCTGTTTATTTATGTCAAGTTCATATCGGATGAGTTAATTAGGTGCTTAAACCTTGTAAGACTAAATGTGTTGAAAGAGTAGTACTTGGGGATGCATAAAACAAAAAGAGTCGATCCATTTATTTGTATGTCATGTGGGGTTAAAACATTAAATAAGTTGAAAGAGTAGGTATTAAATGTGACTTGAGAAATGAGGATGTAACGTCTCAAAAATTACAAAGAGATTTCTCTTCATAAAATAGATTAACCAATTAAACCCTTATTTCGAAAACCATTGAATAACATTTGATTTGTTGAAAACCATTCATTATCAAAGTTAAGTGTACAAAACCGCGAAAACGAATATCTTCGATGCGTGTGTACACCTGCCGAGCTCTTCTCACGAATGACCTGCAAAATGTTTAAGCCACAACTGTAAGCATAAATATCAGTAAGTTCCCCAGTATAACACATATTCCACCATACATACAATGCATCCACATATAATTCTCGACTCTAGCGTCGACCAAACAAAACTCCTATCCACATACATATATCATGTGTAACGGGCCCAACCCAACTCACATAACCGGCCCCGCCCAACCATACATAACGGGCCCCACCCAACTATACATATCGGTCCCCGCCCAACCATACATAACGAGCCCAGAGTAAACAGGCCCAATCCAGACTCCACTGCCAGAAGCCACATCCTGGTCTTTCATACAATCCAAAATGTCATATGTAATCAGGGGTTAAATAGATAGTCGGACAGATGATCCACCTAAGATCGAACAATCATACAAGAACATCACAATAAGGCATTAGACCAAGTGTTCTCACGTTATCCAACTTAGACTACATAGAACCAAAACTACCCTTAACAACTAACCTTCCCTAGTTACCCTGCCATTGACCACCTCTCAATTAAGTCATTCACTAGTCATTCACACATAATCCTGTTAACTGGCCTTCCCTTGTTACCATACCAACATAACTCCTAAAAGAATCATACAATCAACAGGCAAGACTCTACCAGTCTGGCATACCAAAGCACCAATTGTTCTAAACTGCAAGGCATAACAAGAACCTATCATAGGTAATTAGCATAATTTTACTCTAACAATACCTCTCTCCTACCATGTAAAGGTTATATAACAGAATACATGGCATAGTGAGAAACTCACATGAAGTGAAGAACCGGAGAAGCACAACAACAATCTTACACCTTGCACAGCTCAAATCCGTGAACTGTTTAACACCAAAAGAGATAAATACTCAATCAACAATCCAAGTCCTCCAAGTCTGACCGTAAGTCAAACTGGTCAAAAGTCAACTGTCAACAATCAACAAAAGTCAACGTCCCACTAAGTCAAAGTCAACGCCATGTCGTGGGCCCTCATTAGATATGTCGTGGAAACGTAAAGACAAAACAGCCGTGAATTGAAACCTCACAATGCCGTGGTCATTCCAACAACTCAGAAATCTAAAGGGAATGATGGATCCAAGCTAGCTCCTTGCTTCCTTACTCCAAAATGAACTTCATTCTTCTTCAAGTTTCACCAAAACCCTCTTCCAAAAAATAGTTTCACCAAAACCAAGAACTCGGCCTCTAATCAATCAAACAAACTCACAAACATGAAATGGGGGCTATGGTATCATTTAAGGAGGTTGGAGACTAAAAAGGATGCCCTAAATCATGAGTTAATGACTTTAAATATGGAAGAAACCCTAATAATCAATAGCTTGGGCTGCAGCGTTCACCACGTCGTGGCTCCATTCATGCCACATTATGGTGTCCATCAAAAGCATGCGTTCTTCAATTGCCATGCCACGTCGTGGCACTCCATGTACTGCACCATGACATTAGGTTATCCTGAAAAGATATTCCTTTGAATCCTTTATATCATCCACTTATATATTCTGGAAAACGGATGTTACAACTCTTTCCACTTAAATTAGATTTTGTACTCAAAATCAGTCCTGAGCAATAATTGAAAGATCTATATGCACAAGAGTCATTATAGAATTATATTGCTAGATAATATATGATCCTAAAGGGTCGTACTAACAATTTGATGCAAATATATTATAATAAGAACTTGATCCTTGATAAATAAATATAATTCTTGTAATTAATTGGTAATTATTTATTTCATTGAATTATTAATTCTAAATGTTAAGTATCAAAACATATCATAATATATCATAAGGTATGATTTATTATGTCATTTACATCTTTTTGGACCAAAAGGGGTTTTTGTCTTATATGGATTTATATGTTTTATAAGTTATAAATATTAGAATAGTTTTTATAAAGAAAACTAGCTTCTTCTTTTTATAAAATATTCAAGCAGACCATAAAGAAGAATGAAGACTTGCTTTTGATTAATTTATTCAACACACCATGCTCTTAGAAAGCATGACTATTTGATTTGATAAAGCATGAGTCTTAAAGTGCTAAGACCCATGGGATAAAGGCTTAAACTAAGGACTTAAAAGAACTAGTTTTCTCCCTTCTTTCATAAGCCAAAACCATGAGATTTTAGCCTTCCCATATCCATATTCTCGCTAGTTTTGTCTCTTAAAGTGTTAAGATTAAAGTAGGAAGAAGTTGATACTTTACTTGAACTCTCCTTTACAACAAAAGCTTTGTTTTTTTATTAAAGGCTTAAGAGTGTTGTTAGTACAAAATGAAGACTAGCATCTTATCAAGTTGGCTGAATGTTATTGGATACTTCTACAGAGGTTCTTCCTTTGAGCTTAAAGCCATCTTCATCAACTTCCTAATTGCCAAAAAGGAACCAAATTCTTCAAAGGTTGTAATGCTTTCCTTCTATGATTGTTTTAATCTTTCTAAGTCTTGCAAAATAATTTTTTGGTGGGAATAAAACTAGTTTTATTGTGTTCAAATCTAAAGTGTTTTGTTGATAAGTTTATGTTTTTGAAACAATTTTTTGAATAAAAACCCAACAATAATTCCTTAAACACCCTTTGAACCCCTTGTAGGTTTTTCCAAGCTCATTCCCTTCACCACGAGTCGACACCACTCTGAATGCCAGAAGTTGCAACAACCAACACAGAGACCCCCCCCCCTAGGCCGAGCGTATATGCCAAACCATGAGAAAACAGTTGGATTAAGTGTCTAAGCCCATAACTATAATTGGTATATACTTGAATTGATAGTAGCACAGTCCTTTTGGGTTGCCTTTACTCTAGTAACTTGACAGGATG